CTCAACAGTTATCTTCTGTAACCAGCTAAGACATCCAGTGGCAGGCCGTGGTGGTGCACACCACACCTTTAATCCCAGCACTCGGGAGGCAGAGGCAGGCGGATCTCTGTGAGTTCGAGACCAGCCTGGTCTACAAGAGTGAGTTCCAGGTCAGCCTCCAATGCCACAGAGAACCCCTGCCTTGAAAAATCAAAACAAACAAAAAACTTCACACTTTTATATTCTTTAGTCATTCCTGTTCCTGTAATCCTCAGCCATTTTTAATCCTTCCCTGACAAACAGAAAATACTCTACTAATAAGTGCCAGGACAGCCTCCAAAGCTACACAGAGAAACCCCGTCTCGAAAAAAACAAAACAAAAAAAGACATCCAGTGGCAGGACTGAGACACCAACCCAGCCACAAAAAGTCCTGCCTGAAGATGTGCTGGGGCAATGGCAGCTCAGAGCTTGTGGGGCATGGCCAACCAATGACTTGGCTATCTTGAGGCCCATGCCCACAAGAGGGATCCCAACACGGCCTGGCTTGACGGGAACGGGAAGCTGGATGGCTCAGAGACCTAGTGTAGACCCAAACACTACTGCCAAGAAAAAATAAAGTTGACTTGCGACATGACTCCTAATGATACTCTGCTGTACTCACAGATCATGCTACAGTTGTCATCAGAGAGGCTTCTTCCAGCAGCTGACTGGAGCAGAGGCAGAGACCACACACACCCAAACACTAGGCACAGCTCAGGGAACCCAGAGGAAGAGGGGGAGGAAGGACTGTAGGAGACAGAAGGGTCAGGGGCCTCACAGAGACTGGTGGTCATCACGGAGCCAGCATGGGTCTGCCCTCAGTCCTGTGTGGTGGTTGTTTAGTTTGGGGTGCTTGTGGGACTCCCAATAGTGGGGATCACTCACTCTCTGCCTGCTCTTGGGACCCTTTCCCTCCTATTGGGTTGCCTCATCCAGCTTTGCCATGGGGGTTTGTGCCTGGCCTCACTGCATCCTGCTATGCCGTGTTTGGTTGATATCCCTGGGAGACCTGCTTTTTTCTGAAGCAATGGATCTGGGGCAGGGGGTGTGGTACTGGAACAGTGGAGGGAGGGGATGCTGTGGTCGGTTGGGATGTATTGTATGAAAGAATAATAAATGAAAACAAAACTAAAAGCCAATCCAGACTCCACGGTGTGGGAACCTGATAGATAAAATAGCTGGTGAGTCATGAGGTCAGCCCCACCCTGCCCCTAAATACTAATGATTACCTATTTGATCTTATCTCTCTTCTTGGTCAGGAGCTCTAGAGATAACCTGAAGCTGAGTCATGGTGTCCCAAGGCAAGAGTTACCTTATAAAAACACATTATCCCAAAGGCCTAGAGACTAGGTATACCCCGTCATCTGAGACACACGGGGGCTCCTAGCCCGCAGGTCTGGGTGGCTAGGCTCACACCACCTCCGGGATCTCACAAGGTGAGTCCCTTGAAGCCGCCACATCTTCCTACATCTAGCGTGTTTCCAGAACCCCATTCCAATCTGTGGCTTGGGGTCGCTTTCCCATTACTGTTCTCTACATCTGAGCCCATGGACCCCTGGTGTGTGTGTGTGGGGTGTGTGTGTGTGTGCAGTGTAGAGCCTTGCCTTGGGCTCACCCTCAGTGAACAGCAGCATTCCAATATGCAGACCTGGCTGCTCCAGATGAGGGAATAACAGAATCTTTCGCAAACTAACCAGATTGCTGGATGGGTGTGTGTACGGGTGTCCAGAAGCACCACATCCAAGCCCCATTTCATCCAGAGTGGCTTCAGGGAGGAGGTGCCCTCAGGGGCGTCCACCTGGCTGCATTCCCAGCCCAGCAGATGACCCACTTCTCTTCTGACAGGAGGACCACAGCTCGGCCTAGAAAAGGCTATTTTGGAACTGGGTCAGGGCATCAGGTGACTTTATAACCACAGGGCCACTGTACATGCGCTAGGATTCCCTCCCCTTTCCTGATTCTCGAGGCTCTTGGCCCTATTAGACAAAGAACCTGTGAATCACAGCCATCTCAAGCCGTCACACCATGGGTCGTGCTTATCAAGGTATTAGGAGCCACAGGGGTTGCCCCTTCTCTTCTCCTTCCCCCATAGGCTCCATGCATCCTAGGCTGGCCTCAATTTACAATGACAATGTCGGATCATTTTTAACTTTTGCAATAGGATCTCTCTACATAGACCCGACTGTCCTGGAACTCACAGAGATCTGCCTGCCTCTCCTCTGAGTTTAAGGGTGTGTGCCACCATGACCAGCAACGTTGGATCCTTGACCTGGTTCCTAGCCCAGAGCTGGCATGAACAGATGGGCACTACCACACCCAGTTTTATGTGGTGCTGTGACTGCATGTTCATCTGCAGGCCAAAAGAGGGCATCAGATTCCATAATAAATAGTTGTGAGCCACCACTTGGGTGCTGGGAATTGAACTCAGGACCTCTGGAAGAGCAGCCAGTGCTCTTAAACGCTGAGCCATCTCTCCAGCCCCCAAATCTCATTTCTTCAGGTGGGCTCCATCAGAGCTTTTCCTTTATTTTGCTTTTATTTGTGACAGAGTTTCTCTGTGTTACAGTCCTGGTTGTTCTGGAACTCGCTTTGTAGACCAGGTTGGTCTTGAACTCACTGAGATCTGCCTGCCTCTGCCTCCCAAGTGCTGGGATTAAAGGCGGCGCCACCACAGGGCCCATCAGTTTTTCAACCCAGTTTTTCTGCATCCAAGGACAGACCAACCTATGGTGGTTTAAGCGATAATGGTCCCCAGCTGGTAGAACTGTTTAGAAAGGATTAGAAGGTGTGGTCTTGTTAGAGGAGGTGTGTTAGCAGGGGTGATCTCTGAGGTTTCAAAACACTAATGCCATTCCTGGTTAGCACCCTCTGCCTGGTACTGACTGATCAAGATATTAAGCTCTCAGCTATTTCTGCCACTTTGAACTTGTGCTGCCACCATGGGCTTTTTTTTGGGGGGGGGTTAAAATAAATCTTTTCGCCAAATGCCACCCGAGCCCTACAGCCACGTGGGCTCTTTCTGCCAGCTGCCCGAGTTCTGCCCACCGAGTTAGGGCCCCAAATAATACACAGAGACTTATATTAGGTACAAATGCTGCATGGCCAATGACTAGGATTTCCCATCTGTTAGCACAGTCTTAATTGTCATAAATCTATATATTTTATAAGACTTATCTAGGATGCCTCATACTGGGATCACATAGTGACTCTGGAGGAAGAGAGAAGGGGCTCACTTCCTTCTTGCCCTTGTTTATATGAGTCTCCCTACCATGTCACTTCCTGAGTGGATCACCACTTCTTTACTACATTTCCCAGAATCCTCCTTGACTCCTAGTCCCGCCTAACTTGCTGCCTCATTGGCCAAACAGTACTTTATTTATCATCTAGTAAGACAAACACATACACAGAAGCACTTCCCCCATCAGGGGGGCTTTGAGAACAGGGTTTCTCTGTGTAGCCCTGGCTGTCCTGGAACTAGCTCTGTAGACCAGGCTGGTCTCGAACTTAGAGATCCACCTGCATCTGCCTCCCGAGTGTTGGGATTAAAGGTGTCCTCCTTGCCCCCCCACACTCCCAATTTACTCAGGAAATCTTGTCTTTTCCCCTTCCTAGGCAGATCCATGTCTGTCTTTCTTGGAGTCCTCTTTGTTACCTAGGTTCTCTGGGGTTGCAGTGTAGACTCTTGAGTCTCTAAAACTGAAAGCCCCAAATAATCCCTTTCTTATATAGTTGCCTTGGTCATGGTTATCTTGTCCCAGCGATAGACAGTGACTAACACAAGGTCCAATATGTTGAGGTTCTGAGATTCAGTGGAGATCTATTGTCTACAGAACGATGGCTGTAGACCAAAACATTTTTCTTTTTAGGCTATTTATCAGGGCTGGAGAGATGGTTGAGAAGTTAAGAGCACTGGCAGCTCTTGCAGAGGTCTTGGGTTCAGTTCCTAGCACCTGCATGGTGGCTCACAGCCATCTATAACTTTGGTTCCAGGGCATCTGATGCCCTCTTCTATCTTCCTTGGCCACTACCTGCACATGGTGTATGTGTGCGTAGTGAACACACAGGTTCGGCAGGTAAAGAGTATTTACTGATCTGCAGAGGACTTAGGTTCAGGTCTCAGGACCCACATGAAATTCACAACTCCCTGTAACTCCACTTCTAGGGGATCCAAAGTCCTCTTCTGGTCTCCAAGGTCACCTAGATACACATACACTCAAACACACACAGATAAAGTAAGGAAAATTTAAAAATCAAAAAACAACGTAAGAACAATGAAAAACCACTTTTTAAAAAATTTATTTAAGGAACACAAAATGCATCTAAATGATTTTTTTTTTTTTGTATTGTTTTGAGACAGGGTCTCACTATATAGGCCTGGCTGTTGTGGAACTCACTGTGTAGACCAGGTTGGCCTAGAACTAGCTCTTGTAGACCAGGCTGGTCTGGAACTCACAGAGATCCACCTGCCTCTGCCTCCTGAGTGCTGGAATTAAAGGAAATACACCCACTACCTCCAGCTTCTAAATGATTTTTTAAAAACCAAAATTTAAGTGTATCATCTGGTCACCCATCATTCTACCCAGTCTAAAGGTGCTTTGAAGACATCTTCTGATTTCCATATGAATTATTTGAAATTATTGAATACAATAACGCATCAAGCCTAGTGGTGCTGGGTACCTCGCCACTTTTGGCTGGAAACCTTGCACACCTTCTCCTGGCACCAGTCTCCTTGGCCCATGGTGCACACTTGGGAGACAGCTGGTGAAGGTCACCCAATTTTCTGAAAAAGAGGTCTCCTGTAAAAAGCCAATGGGCTAACTTGCTAGGCTCAAGTCTTAGCTATGTCCTGTTTCTGCGCTGCAGTCAACAGAACTACAGACATCAGAGTTAGATAAGAACAGTCAGCTCCTGCTCTTTGTGCTTCCTAGGCGAGATCAGGGCTGAAAACATTATTCATGAAAAGAGGCAGAAGTGGAAAGTGTGAAATCTAAGAGGTTTTAGTCACCAGTAAACGAAATTCCTCAAAGCTGAACTCCATCCGTTGCATGTAGAATAAAACTGGAACAGCTTGAAAACAACTTGATTTGTAGGTTTTAAAGTCCTAACTTAACAATGAGACTGTTTTATTAAAACAAACATAAAAACAAACTCATCTAAATGCAACCACCAGTATCCCTAGGGCTACAAGAGTGAGGTTTCCAGGGTTCATAGGCTGTGGAGAAGCAAGTAGCACTCAATCCTGTACACTTCCCGCAGGACTAAAATCCAACTACATGGCTACTTAAGGCTTGCCCTGATCCCATGCCCAGACCTGGAGACTCTGGCTTGATGGACCTGCATGGGAAGCCAGCAACCTTTATAGGACACCAGAACGAAGAGGCTGGGGTACAGAGGGACAGCATCTGCCCATCAAACCTCCAGGTACCCTCACTCTAAGAGGAACTGCCTGCTTCAAACCTCACAGATTTTGCCTTTCAAAACCAAAGCTAAAAAGTAAAAAGTGAAAAATGTTTTTGCATGGTAGAGGAGTGTGAAGTTTCTTCCATAAAGCGCTATATATGCTTACAAACAATTAAAAAAAAAAAAAAAAAAAAGAGTAGCTGCGTCAATCTTAGTTGGATGTGGACGTTAGTCCACTCCAGGTCTAGGACAAGAGCAAGCCTCAGTTCTTCACAGCGAGTCAGGGAAAGGAAACAGGAGGCTGAGCAGCAGCACTGAGAGCTAACATACTTTAAAGCGGGGGACAGCGGGAAACAAGCCACTCAATGAGTTCACTCTAATTAGGGAAAGCTAACCCGGAAACTCCCACCTACCACCACCTGATGAGGGTGTTGGAGTAATAACAGACTCTCTGGGTGTGACGGAAAGTTACACTCACAAGAGTCTGAGAAGGGAACCTGGGAAGCCGCTGGACAGGCAGGCAAGTGACCTCTGAGACTCTGCTGTGGACCTGGGGACCCCTCATTTTGGGCTTGTGTTCTCAGCACTGGAGTCAGATCTTCCACCCCTGCCCTGCCTCCCAACAGGAAAGCAGAGATGGTTCCTGCGGGGCTACTGAAGCGCAGATGGAGAGCCCTGAGGCAGCCGGGGCCTTGGGACCATCAAGGGATGCTGTGTAGGACACTGAAATGAGCTGGACTTGAGCTGCTGGCTTGGTCTCTGCACACCAATGGGCTTTTCTGTTCTGTTCCCCGGCGTGTCCCCCTACCCCCACCCCCACCCCTGGGCAGCAGCAGGGTGGTTATTTTGGGAAGCTATTGGTTTTGCCATTTGCTTCCAGAATCCCAGAGACTGTAACAAACCTTACACTAGACACTGTTCAGTCCTGAGTTGGGTGTGAGCCCAGCAAGGAGGGCCGAGTTCATTAGGACTCTCTTCCCTCCTTGGCGTGGCGTCATACATGGCCTTCAGCCTTTCCTTCTTCCATGGCCTGCCTCTCGGATCTTTTACAGGCCTCTCCTTCTACAGTCTTCTTGCTCATTGCTTTGCTGGCTGCTTCCTGGGGGTTAAAGGAGGAGGTGAAATTAGCCTCTGTCCTCCTAAGATGGTTTAATCCAGTCTACAATAAATGTGTCTGCTAGTATTTGGGACGCACAGTTGGTAAGTGGGGGTGGTGGCATGCAACAGAAGAGCTTGCTATCTGAGGTGGCTGTTGAATCATTAAGGCTTGTGGTGGTGGAAGCTGGGGCTCAGGGACAGACTTGGGAGCAGAGAATGTCTGTAGGGCAAGAAGCTGACCTGTCTTCAGGTACACCTACTGCCAGCTTGGCATTCAAACAGATGGCAGTGTACAGTAAAGAGCACTGTGTGGGGCTGCAGTGACACCCGTTTCCAAGCCAAGCTGGATATCTTACCCAGGAAGTATTACTTGGGAAAAAAAAATACTGATAGCTGTCCTGGAACACACACTGTAGACTAGGTTGGCCTCCAACTCACAGGGATCCATTTGCCTTTGCCTCCCAAGTGCTAGGATTAAAGGCACGCTGAATTTATTAATATTTTAAATAACAAGCTAACTTGGTTTGGTGACAGATGCCTGAAATCCCTGAACTCCTGAGGCAGAGGCAGGAGGATCTCTGAGATGAAGCTAGCCTGGTCTACAGTCTTCTATGTCTCAGGAGTTAGCCTCCCCACCTCTTTGTGGACAAGCAGGGCCTCAGCTGGAGCCCTACCAAACCTGTGCATCCTCAGCAGCCTCTGGCCACACCCAAGTCTCTTCCTTAGCCTTGTTTCTCTTAGGCTGGCAACCCAGCCTTGTCCCCTCCGCTGGGTTAGCTCAGCTCCTCATCTGCCTGGGGTCGGGGCTGCGCACGCGCACCTTTGCATCCCGCTCCGCGAACTTGGTGAACATATTGGCGTACACCCTGCGGTCTCGCTCATTGTGCTCCTTGGCTTTCTTCTGGCACATGGAGATCTGCAGTCTCGCGGCCTTATTCTGAGGGTTAACCGCCAACACTTTCTCAAAGTCACCTTTGGCGGACTCAAACTCGTTCATAAGCAGCTGGGCTTCACCCCTTCTGTACAAGCCTTTCTCATTGGCGCTGTCCAGTCCGAGGGCCTAGAACAGAGAGACGCCCACAGTTTAGGAGGGATGGCTGTAAGTCTTCTCACTTGAGGGCAGTGAAGAAGAGCTTCAGGAAATAGTGTGCAGTTCAAGGGTGACAGGTGAGAGATGCAATTACACCCCAAAGAAGCATGCGTGTGTACAGGGATGACAAGATAATCAAGTGTTTTAATAGAAAATGCCTCCCCAAAGTGCATGTGTTGAAGCCGGATCCCTAGATGGTGTTGGGAGGTCTGACTGGCCCTGAGGACCCTTTATCAGTGAGACTGTACTGAACAGGGTTGTAAGGGATTAGAGCATTGGTTCCCAACCAGGGGATCACCGCCCCCCCCTGCAGGGGTCACATATCGGCTATCCTGAATATCAGATATTTACAATTCATAACTGTAGCAAAGTTATGAAATAGCAATGAAATATTTTTACGACTGGTGGTTACCACAACATGAGGAACTGTATTAAAGGGTTGTAGCATTGGGAAGGTTGAGAACCACTGGACTGACTAGAGGAAGGTCAAAGGGGTGTGAAGTTTTTGTTTTGTTTTGTTTCGTTTTGAGACAGGGTCTCACTATGTAGCTCTGGCTGTCCTGGAACTCAGTATATAGACCAGGCTGGCCTCAGATTCATGGAGCTCCACCTGGCCTTGCTTCCTGAATGCTGGGATTAAAGGTGTGCTTTTGAAAGGTACGCCTTGTCCCTGGGTCTCTGTGTCCTGGCTTCTATAAAAGCAAGCGACTCTTCTCTGCCATGCCCTTCTGCTTCCATTTCTGCCCACAGCAATACTGTCAGCCAGACATGGACTGAACCCTTTGAACTAAGTGTCAGACAAAGAGCCCTACCCTAACTCATATGTATGTTCATGCATATGCAGGCCAGATGTCAGTCTTCAGGAACTGAGAATGCTGATAGGCTAGGGTGGCTGGCCAGTGAGCCCTGGAGATCTGCTCCACCAACACTGGGATAACAAGCATGGGTGGTCTGGAATTATTATGATTTTTTTTGGTACATGTATTTTGCCTGCATGTATGTATGTATGTATGTATGAGCACTGACTCTACACCAGTGGAAGGCAGAACAGGGTATTAGGATCCCCTGGAACTGGAGTTACAGAGAGCTGTGAGCCACCATGTGAGTGCTGGTAATGGGGCCTGGGTCCTCTGGAAGAGCAGCAGGTGCCTTAGCCACTGAGCCACTCTCTAGCCCCCATGCACAGCTTTTATGCGGGTGCCAAGGATCAAACTCAGGGCCTCACGCTTGTGTGACAGGCACTTTACCCACCTAAAACTTTAAGTGCTCCTATCTCTGGCACTTGTAGGAATTTATCCTGTGCAAACACCCCAAAAACATGCGACGAGAAACACTGAATGCATCACATTCTCTTCTAACTTTTAAAATTACTCTGAACCTTCTAATAACAAAAGCAAACTCTGAAGATCTTGCAGTGAGGACGAATTAAAGTAAAACCACCACACCTTCACACATCTGATCTTACAACGAGTCTTTTAATCCTAACCCTGATGAGGGAGAGCAGTGAGTGCAGTCATCCGACAGGGAAGGGAATTATGTCCAGATCTTTCTCTAGTCAGCTTTAAGTTCATTTTTTTGTATGTATTATGCATAAGTGTATGGATGTACATTCATCTGTGTACGTACACACACACACACACACACACACACACACACACAGAGGCCAAAGGACAAGTATCTTCTTCTATTACTTTCTCCCTTACTCCTTTTGAGGCAAGGTCTCTCCCTGAACCCGGAGCTCACAACTTTGAGGGACGCCAGCAGTTAACACACCTTCCTGATCCTCCTATTTCCCATCTACTGGGTGTTCCCTTCCTGTGGGTTAGGCCAGGCTTACTACTGCGTTGGATCCTCAGGACCTGGACGGTGGAAGAACTCCTCAAGTTGCCCATATGTGCACCATGGCGTCTACACAGCACCTATCTGCACATAATGAATGTTTACAGAATGGAGCAGGAGGGCTGGGGAAGAATAAGGCCTGTGACCCAAGCTCCAGGGATCAGATCTCTCTCCTGGCCCCCAGGAGCACCTGTGTGCACACAAGCACATTCCCACACACAGATAGCATGCATGTACAAATATTTAAAAAACGTAAAGTGTATCTTTAAAAAAATGGCTTTGAGAGACAAAGCTGATGGAAATTCTATGGCTGGAATTTCTTGTATGCTTGAATTCTGAGCAGCTTTGTAACATCTCTGTATTTAAAAAAAAGCACAAAATTGTCAGGCGGTGGTGGTACACAACTTTAGTCCCAGCACCCGGAGACAGAGGCAGGTGGATCTCTGAGTTGGCAGCCAGTGTGGTTTACAGAGTGAGTTCCAGGACAGCCAGGGCTGTTACACAGAGAAACCCTGTGTAATGAAAAACAAACAAACAAAAAGCTTTCTTTCATAAGAGTTGTCTTGGCCATGGTGTCTCTTCATGGCAACAGGACAGTTATAACTGTTATAACTGTCTTCAGGCCCACCTGTAAGATACACTCACTCAATGGTAGTTTTTACTTATGCTGTAACATATACTGTTCCATATTAACTAGAATAGAAAACTGTCAAGGCGGTACTCACGGCAAACCGCTGCCACTCGTAGCAATGGATCAGAGCACAAATGCAAAACTGTGAGGGCTGCTGAGATGCTCCACCGCCCCTTAAATTACATTTGTGTTTTCAGTGGCTGAAGACCTAAGAAACTCAGACTAAATTTGCTCCATTAAACAGGAACCCAAGGGCTGGGGATATGGCTTAGTGGTAGAGTATTTGTCCAGTGTGCACAAGGCACAATCCCCAGCAGGGCAAACAAAACAAACAAAACAAAACAAAAAGTGGAACTCCCAGAGTTCTTTCTCTACTATGATGCTCAAAACCAGTGTAAGACCACAGGTGAAAACTGTCATCAATTCTATGAAAAATTATATGTAAAATGCTAGATAGAAATAGTCCATGTCTAGCCCAATCCTCTGGGTGTCCCAGCTCATGCCGAGCATAGAGGACACTGCCTGAGGGCAACAGAAGCTCCCCAGGGACAGAGGGTGGGGTGCGGACCACCCAAGTGCACATCACGGGGCCACCCACCTTGTCGCAGCACTCCACAGCTTTGGTGTACTCTCTGAGCTTCAGGTAGCACATGGCCAGGTTTAGGAAGGCCGCCAGCAGGAAGGATTCAGAGGCTTTTGACTCCTTGTCTGATAGGCCGTACTCCATCTCCAGCCAGGACACAATCTTCCCGTACTGAATCACAGCCTGCATGTACTTGCCTCCCTGGGAGAAAAAGGCCAGTGATGACTCGTATTGTGCTCAGGAAAGGATGTAACACAGCGCGAGCATGGCCTGCCTTGGCTGGGTCCTCACATGGAACAGGCTTGCATGACAACCCGCTCTGTGTCCTTGAATTATACGGCCTCAGCTCCCCTGTGGAAGCTCTGCTGGTCTGTGAGGTAGCCTGTGTGTGTAGCAGGCTGACACACGGCATGCTGTTTCTTGGCATTATTCCAGCCTGGCAGCAGGTGGTTACACCATTTGAAGCCAATATTCAACAGTCTTTCAAAGGATGGCAAGCCGTATGGCTTATGGAAGGCGGGGGTGACTTTTCTCTCTTCTCCTGGCATTCAGCATTGCATAGTAAATACTGCAATATGGTAACGTAGTCACCAGACAGCAAGCCTGGGCTCTCTGAAGCAGACTGCAAGTCCTCGGCTCTCATGAGTAGTGTGAGAGTAGCACCAGCCAACACAGGCAAAGCTGCAGCAGCATGGCTGCGTCCTGGTGGTGTCTGTGCACCGGTGTGGCTGCATCCTGGCTTCATTGTACTTCTAAGAGTAAGCAGTGGGCCAGAGTACAGCATACAGCTTATACTGTGTACAGTATAAGCAAGCTTGAACAGCAAAATCAATGTGTGAGAAAGCTGGTCTACTCTTATTTGCCCTATTCCACCCCCTCTGCAGTACTAAGGACTGAACCCAGGGCCGCATGTATACTATAAGCACTGTACCCATTATACCGCCAAACCCTCATTTTTATTTCAGACAGATAGGACCTTGCTAAGTTGTCAAGGCCGGCCTAAAACTTGTGGTCCTCCTGCCTCAGTTTCCAGAGCAGTGGTTCTCAATTTTCCTAATGCTGTGACCTGCTAGGGGTCAACCAACAGGTGAGACCCGCTGTTCCAGAGTAAGTGGAATCACAGACATGGGCCAGCACACCCCCTGGCCCTGCTTACTAATGTGTACGCTACTGAATGAATAAGAAACTGCGGTGGAGACCACGTGCTCACTGCTGTAATAACGCAACTTCATGTTGTGGAGTGGCCGTTGGGAATCAGGTTAGGACTCTTCTCTGCAGCAGGCAAGTACAAGCCTGAGTACAGAGGACACGTTCTATCAGATGGCAGAGGGCAGCACACTGCAGGATACGAAACCCAATGTTTACACACTGCACACTGCTGAGACCGGCAGGAGGACTGCCTGTACTCATAGCAGTGAGTCCTGGCCCCCAGGCACAACCAGCCAGCCTCAGACACACTTCCTTCTCATGGAGCACTAGGGGGCGCAAGACACCTGCACACAGCAGGGAGTCCCCAGCCTTCACAGGCCACCTATGCTTAACAATGACTTGCAGAACTAGACGAGGTTAGTCATTTCCTGCTTCTCTTCTCATGAGTGTTCAGAGGTTGAAAGGAAGTTTCAACACCAGTCTAAATAGCACAACTCAGTCCTGCTTTGCCCACAGCTGTTAACCAAGCTTGCAGGTCAATAAAATGTGCAGATGTTTTGAAATACAGGTCAGCAGTGCGGCCCATCTCTGCAGTCACCCACACTTCTGCATGCTGGGTGCGGCACATGTCAAGTCAGACACCCTGGGAAGATGGACTGCTGAGAGCAGCAGGCAGGCAGGCAGGCAGGCAGGCAGGCAGAACGAAAGCTGTCCTGAGCATTGAAAAGGGAACTCGTACAGGAGGCAGCCTACCAACACTTCCAAAACCCACAGCTCCAGCTAGCATCACCACTGTGACCTTCACCTATAATTAGGAAGGGTGCCTCTAGGACGTCAATGGTACAAAATGTCCAGAGACGGTCTGGGGTAAGTCTTAGGTCACTGGTTTTGAACCTTTCATTAATTTTCCCCTAACAGAAAGATCTTGTCTATCAAATTACATGTTAAGAATAATATGTTCCATATGTGTGACTGATGATCCAGATTTTATCCAGATTGGTAATTTTAGGAAGATTCAAAACATGTTGAAATATACGTATCATCACTGTAATGCTCCCAAGAAACACCAGTAAGGGATCTGAATCACATGAAAACCAAAGGTCGAATTTTCCAGATTTCCCAACTGAGAGCTCATATCTGTCTGTATTCTGATTCATACTTTATTCTTTTTTATTTTAGCAACTGTTAGAATAAACAAATGGATGTATATTATTAAAATCTCTAGATTTCGCCCACAGTGAAGACGTGCTTTAAAATGACTGCCCACAGGGCTGGAGAGATGGCTCAGAGGTTAAGAGCACTGACTGCTCTTCCAGAGGTCCTGAGTTCAATTCCCAGCAACCACACGGTGGCTCACAACCATCTATAACGAGATCTGGTGCCCTCTTCTGTGTGCAGATAGACATGGAAGCAGAATGTTGTATACATAATAAATAAATAAAATCTTTTAAAAAAGTACTTTAAAAAATGACTACCTAGTATCACTTACAATAAACAAAACTCATCCACACCATATGCAGTGCACAATCACTGAGATGGTCCCATGACCCAACACTGGTCTCAAATGGAGAACAGATGAACTGCCTCCCGCTAAACAAAAAGCCCAGTGGTCTTTACTGTCTCTGCCAGTTATCCCACTTGGTTCCCACCTGCAGATAAGGTGGTAGAGGCGGCAGTGCCATGTGACAGAAAGGGGCCCATGAAGACCTGACTCAGACCTGTGCTTCACAGAGTCATGAAAACAAACCACCAAAAAACAAAAAAAACCAAACAAACAAAAAAGAATCTTCTTTAACAAGTAAATAAACCAATGGATAGCTCTTTCTCTCCCTCCACACCCCCTTTCTCAAGACTGCAGTTACAAGAAAAAAAATCCAAGCACACACATGTGTGTGCGTGTGTGTGTGTGTGTGTGTGTGTGTGTGTGTGTGTGTGTGAGAGAGAGAGAGAGAGAGGGGGGGGGTGTGTGTGTCTCACTATGTAGCCCCGATTGGTTGGAATTTGCTATGCAGACCTGTCCTTGAACTCACAGAGATCCATTTGTCTCTGCTTCTGGAGCGCTGGGATTAAAGACGTGTACCACCACAGCTGGCTGCAGGCTTCAACCTCTTTACTACAAGGCAGGGAACTGAATCAGCTGCTTCCAACAGCATCACCTAGCCCAGGAGAACACATCCATTTTTGAATTCTCAACACTAAGTCTTCACTTGGTGTGCAGAGATACACATTTGGGAGTGGGCTGGCAACAAGCTGTATGGCACTCTGAAATCTCCTTTCTTGCACCTGGGATTAGAATCTATGGGATAAAGCACTGGCTCCTAGGTCCCACGGAGAGGGCTCTGGGGAAGCAGCTGTCATGTAGGGCAGCTGTAAGTAGTATCACCATGGCCAGTGCAAGGTTCAGTGCCCTCTCCCCACCAGGTTCTTAAATGCGCTGTGCTGAGCATCCCTGGATGCTGAGTCATCCATGCCAGTCTCCAGAGTTTTCCTGGTACCCAGCCAGCACCATTAGTGGCATCTTTATTTTGTTGTTCAGTTACAGCAGCAGTGATGTATTTCTAGATAAAACTTATCAAACAAGGTGGGCAGTGGTGGTAGACTCCTTGAATCCCAGCACCTTGGAGGCAGAGGCAGGTGGATCTCATGAGTTCCAGGACAGCCTCGTCTGCAGAGCAAGTTCCAGGACAGCCAGGGCTACACAGAGAAATCCTGTCTTAAACGACAACAACAATCCCCCAAACTTATCAAATATTAAAGATCTATTTTGAGGATACTGGCTGTGAAAACTGCTGTTCCAATTTAGAGTGCAAAGGTAATTCATATTTCTTATTTTTTATTAAAGATTTATTTATTACGTATACAGGATTCTGCCTCCATGTATGCCTGCAGGCCAGAAGAGGGCACCAGATTCCATTATACATGGCTGTGAGCCGCCATGTGGTTGTGGGAGTTGAACTCAGGACCTCTGGAAGAGCAGTTAGTTAGTGCTCTTACTGTTGAGCCATCTCTCCAGCCCCAGTAATTCCTATTTCAAGTGGAAACCATAATGAGAACAACCAGGGCCTTCTTGGGTTGTGCTTACATGAAAACAAGTGCAGTGCAGTAATGCAGGGGGAGGGGGTCACCCAGCGTGGTTTGAAGACTCTGCATGTTGTTTCCTGTCACAGGTCCTAGTGAACTTGAGGAGTGGGAGGAAGCGTGGAGCCCACTCCTGTGAACTCTGACTATCACAACCTCTCTCCATCCTTTCTCTTCACACCCACTGCACACTAACGATGGACCAACCGGGATGCACCATCAGGCCTTGAGTGGTACGGATGCAGGTGAGCAGGCCAGGTGAGGTCTGCTCATGGCATAAAGGTGAGGTGCCTGAGTTACTGCCTTCACACTAGCGCGCTCTTCTCACAGATCCTTACACTGAGGACAGCAGGAAAGCGTGGAAACTGAGGGTTACCAGCACGGCACATGGACACTGAGCAACAGTGGGGCAGGGACAGGGTTTACAGGGACTCACACACCTTGAAGTACACCGTTCCCTTCTCTTTGACAATGGCAGCCTGCTCCAGTTTTTCTTTGGTGTCCATCTCCCAGGATTCTTTGGCCTGTGTACAGATTTGTGGCATTAGTTAGATGAGCAGGAGGACACACACCACTTGATGCCTACAGATCAAACACCAGCTACTTCTAGAAGATACCCAAACTCAAGACACCGGCAGGCGGCTGGGTGGTGGTAGCGCACGCCTTTAATCCCAGCACTCGGGAGGCAGAGGCAGGTGGATCTGTGTGAGTTTGAGTCCAGCCTGGTCTACAAGAGCTAGTTCCAGGACAGCCTCTAAAGCCACAGAGAAACCCTGTCTCGAAAAACAAGACACTGGCAGGCAGCACCGTGTGCTGCTGCGGAGCCACCACCGGGCCAGTGGTCTAGGTGCCACTTTAAGAACATGAGCCGTGGTTCCCAAGCTGTGGTCTGACCAAGCAAAGCTGTCCAAGGAGAATGGGCAAAGCACAGCAAGAGCATCAGAGCCGAGCCGAGCCGAGCGCTCTGAAGGACTGCACTGTAGAACGACAAAGCTGGCCTCCCGAGGCCTCCTCACTTCTGCTTCTGCCAAGTCTGTTTTCCAGCTCTCAATCAGGATCATTACTTATGGTCCAGGCCAAGCTGTACATGCACAGAGAACTTTTTAAATTCCAGGTCAGGCATTGTCTCATCACTCACGACCAGATGGATTATAGTCTCTACCAGTATCAGCTTGCAGGTGTGCACTTGGGCAATGTCTTTTCTTTTTTTTCCAGGCTGGCCTCCACCTTACAATGTAGACAAGGATGACCTTGAACTTGTGACCCTCCTGCCAACACCTCCCAAGCGCTGGGATTACACCTCAATGATGCCTTTCCTTGGGGGCTTTTCAGCAAAATATGACTAGGAAAACGGGAGCTCATGTGGAAACATCACTGCAGAGCTGAGCATAAATGACTCCACCCTCACCTGGGGCAGCTTGTATCATGTGCACCCTATTCTCCACAACTGTCCATGCAGGTCTAGAAGCAACAGCTCTGGGGCTGTCATTCAGTGAGACAGTGCTTGTTCTGTGTACTTGAGTCCATGGGTTTAAAAAAAAAGAAAGATCCATATAACTGCTGGAGTTAAGATCACAGAGTCCAGTAGAATAACCAAAGTCTTTCAGGAAATGCAATAGGAGTGATTGGCTCTATTTAGTACATATGGATTAGAAAGTTCAAGTGGAGGGCTGGAGATGGCTCAGCAGCTAAGAGCACTGGCTGCTCTTCCAGAGGACCTGAGTTCAATTCCCAGCACCTACAAGGCAGCTCACAACTGTCTGTACCTCCAGCTCCAGGAGAGCTGACCCTCTCTCATGGACACACAGGCAGAAGAGACACTAATGCACAGAAAATAAAAATAAATCTCAAATACAAGAAAGGAAGAAAGAAAGTTAATTCAAGTGGAGTCAGGTGAGCAATGGTGGCACACGCCTTTAATCCCAGCACTTGGGAGGCAGAGGTAGGAGGATCTCTATGAGTTTGAGGCCAGCCTGGTCTATAGAGCGAGTTCCAGGACAGCCAATAAATACATATTATACCATGTGAACAACAAATATTGCTAGTGTATGAACCTGTGTAAAGACCACAGGTCAATTTAGGTGTCTTTCTCTATCACTCCCCACCTATTTAAAAAAACAAAACTACTTTTACTTATTTTTTCAACATATATTTCCTTTGTCTCCTTCCTTCTCCCTAGATTTATTTATCATGTATACAGTGTTCTGTCTTCATGTATCCATTACAGGAGGTTGCTGGGAATTGAACTGAGGACCTTTGGAAGAGCAGCCAATGTTCTCAACCTCGGAGCCATCTCTCCAGCCCTTTGTCTCTTTTCTAAAACTACACTGATTTTATTTATTATTACGTGTGTGTGTGTGTGTGTGGGGGGGGGGGTGTCAGAGGACAACCCTGCAGAGTCAGTTCTCTCCTGCGTGGGTTTTAGAGACAAACTCAGGTTGTTGGGTTTTGTGGCTTTTACCCATGAAGGCATCTTGTCAGATCTTCACTTAACTTTTTGAGACAGGTGTCTTACTAAAGTTGGAGCAAACTGATTGGCCAGGCTGGCTGGCCAGCAAGTCCCAGGGATCCTGCTGCCTGCGGCAGTCTTGGGGTCATTGGCACATGCCTCCATGTCCGGCTTTTCACATGGGTGTTAGAGATCTGAACACATGTCTTCATGGTTACCCAGTGCTCTCTTTTTATTTTTTTTGCACAGGAGTGGTGGCAGTGGTGACAGGGTCATGCTAGGTAGCACAGGCTGGCCTGAGACAGGTGATCCTTCTGCTTTAGCCTTTAGAGCAATGGGATTCTAAGTGCACACCACCATGTCTGGCTTCTGACATGGTTCCCAAAACGTCACAGGCCTCCCTCCCCTGTAGGTCCACCCAGTGACGCGCACAGACACACTTGTGGAGTGGTGGCAGCATGAGCTGGGTTCTTCAGAAAGCAGGGAGGGAAGGTAGCAGGACCTCTATAAAAAGGACAGCAAAGCTAAAGGCCTTGACAATCATGTGCTAAAGATGCTTTTCTCCCTCTTAGTAATAAAAGCCCACGAAGAGACCAGTACTGAGCCTGGAGGCCTTCAAAAGAGGTCACCCCCAAAAAGCAATGGCATGATGAGAGCACGTGTGTTGGGGGATGATGCTGGAATAGGAGAACACTGCTTTCTTCTCCCAAACGCACAGGCCAACAAGGTGTCGATCCCCTTTCGGAACCTAGTATAAGATGGAAGGGCACATTTCTAGAGAAACTTGGTGTATAGAAATGGGGGCTGTGGCAGCATGGGAATACAAGGTTAATAAAAATGGCAGTCCTTGAGGAGCTCAAGGAAGGGTGGGATGTTGGTCACTTGGAGACTGCCTACTTAGCTTACAGGGATGCGGTGTGTCTGCCCAGTAGAGGCAGCTGTAACCTACAGAGGTAGCCATGGGTTGGAAGTCAGTCCAAGGAGGCCATGGCAGATTCCCTCTCTTCTGTTCTGGGACGAGGGCACAAACAGCTGGGTAGCAGGTTTCTTTCTTGTCAGTCGCAGCCTGCTGGCCTGAGGCTGAGACCTTGGGATCATAACCTGGAGCCCCAGCAGAGGCCTCTGTGTGACTCCTGTGAAGCGTACAGTCCGTTCAGCACTGGGAAGCTGCACCCCAACTCCCCCAAGGAGCAGCTTGGCAGTACGTGAACTTTTTTGTCCTCAACCCAGGAAAAAAAGTACAAAAAGAACAAGCCTAGGAACAAATAAGGGAACAAGTCTTGGATTCTACCCAAAAGTTAAAAAAAAAAAAAAAAGGCTGACACACAGGAACAAAATAACACCAGGTCCTCTTATATATCCACTGTGTTATGTCAGCTTTCCCATGCTCTAAGCAGAAATGGGTGGGGTGGGGCTCGAAGGAATCACGGTAAAGAGAAGCAATCACAGAAACAAACAGCACTTAGTTAAACCACCGAACACACAGCACGGGAAGGGCATGGGAAGAAATCCACCACAGTTTTAGAGAAGCTGGACTTCCTCACCTTTTCGAAGCTCTTAAGTGTGACTTCATACATAAGCTCAGCATTGGGTTCAATGCCAAATTTAGGCTTCCCTGCCTCTCCAAAACCGTATCTGAAATAGAGAGTAAGAGACAAGACTTTAAAAGAACTGGAGTGCTTCCAGGCACTTCTTGGTGTTCTGAGGCACAGAATTAGCCTGCTGTGTATCAGAGACCAGAGACACAGCAGAGACTGAAGGAGAAACACCCCACACTTTAGTGCTGTGCTCTCTTAGACTTGGCTGCATCTGTTCCCCCCCCCTCTGTACTACCTATCTGGGAGAGCCTGCTTGATATGCTTTTTAATATTGATGTCTTTTCCTCTGTGTGATTTTAGACTTAATTCTTTCCTTTTTTGCTATAAGGAATTTCTCCCTCGAAGCTTTATGGCAGAAAGGACGTTAAGAGCCCTGGACTATGCTCATTGGTGAAATCAATAGCTCTGTTTTAATGACTGTAACATTTTTGTTACTATTATTACCGCTTGTTGCTGATCTTTGGCAGTTTCACACTTGTATAGAACCAATTTGTCATTTTACTCCAACCCCTCCTCTCTCACTGGAACCTTTCCCCCACCATGTCCCCTCCTACTTGATGTCTGAGTTTCCCAAGGACTCTGTTTTAGAACGAGCTTCTCACTCGAAGCATCGCTGCCTTCTGACAGCACTTCCTCCAATCAGATAAGCCACGGGGCAGGACATAGGCAAAGAAAACAGCTCCTAAAGAGTTAAAAGGCACACCACAGCCAGCAGCCCAGCAGCCCACTTAGAGGCATGCAAACTTTTACACCTTAGTTATCCTGTCTAAGATGCAGTAAACTCCCTTTAGCCTAAACTTACTAAGTTAAAAAAAAGACAAAATAGTGCCGGGCGTTGGTGGCGCACACCTTTAATCCCAGCACTTGGGAGGCAGAGATAGGCGGATCTCTGTGAGTTTTAGGCTAGCCTGATCTACAAAGCTACCCTGAGAAACCCTGTCCAAAAAAAAAAAAAAAAAAGACAAAAATAAAACCCAAGGGGATGTAAATTTTTCACTTTGAGGGACTGGTCTGGTTATGGAGGGTGGTTTACAGGGGCATGCTGTCACACCGAATGTTTGTAAACAGCTCTGGGAACTACTTCAGATCTTAACAAATGGATTGTATATGGGAAGGGTGCACCTTTGAGAACAGAACCCCCAGGGAGATGTGTCTGTCTGCTTTAGGGTTTCCCAGCACCTAGAACACTGCCCACAGCCAGGCATGGTGGGGCATGACTACAATCCCAGCACTTGGGAGGCAGAGGCAGGCAGATCTCTGTGAATTCTAGGACAGCCAAGGCTACAAATAGACGACCTCAAAAAAACCAAAAAGAAAAAAAAAAAAAGAATAATGTTCAGCCTAATAGCAAGGATTCACCAGAACACCATTTTTATCTGCCACGAGCCAAACTACCCTTAAAATGTGAAATGGCATAAAAAGTTCAGTCAGGGGCTGGAGAGATGGCTCAGAGGTTAAGAGCACTGACTGACTGCTCTTCCAGAGGTCCTGAGTTCAATTCCCAACAGCCATATGGCGGCTCACAACCATCCGTTATGAGATCTAGTGCCCTCTTCTAGTCAGCAGGCATACATGTGGGCAGAACACTGTATATATAATAAATAAATCTTAAAAAAAAAAAGATCAGTCAGCCCAAACTTGCAGGCCATGGTTTGAAAGACGTCAAGACTGGGCTCAAGCTAGTAATCTCCCACTGGGGTCTTCTGGGAGCCAAGGGGCTGGGGGAGAGCACACACCATGCTGCACGTGCTACTTCTAGTGCTTGTTTGTGTTTTCCAGGAAAACCTGCTTACTCACTCACCTCCATTGTTACACAGGAAAATGAGTGGCTGGCAGAGGCAAACAGACGCCTGCAAAGAACGGGGCGCGGCAGGCAGCTCTAACACCAGGCAAAGGGCATCTTCAGCAAAGCAATAAAGCAAAGGGTACAATTGCCAGTGGCCAGTTCTAGGAAATGGTGCCTGTTTTCCTGCGTGTGCGTGTGGGTGAGAGCTGTCCCTCACCTGCTGCCAAGGAGGCACGCAGGTGTCAGGTGGTTGAATACTTCTTAAGTCCGCTGCCTAGAGCACATTATGATTGGCAGTTTTGCTAAGTAGGGACAAGTGCAACAGATGAACTGGCATTCGGTTTGGAACAGTGGTGCTTAACTGGGTTGATTTTAACCCTTCTTTGTCAGGGGACATTCAGCAATGCCTAGAGATCTTCTGGGTGGGGTCGTTACTGGCTGGCAGGTAGAGAGTCCAGGAATAACGCTATACATCCTCATGACACAGGACAATCCCCCTCTGCCACAACCAAGAACTACCTAGCCCCGAACATCAATAGTGGTGAGGGCTGCCTAAGAGGGACCCTCCCTGGAGCTTCCATGACAGGAAGGGGCGGGGTGGGGAGAGGTATGAGAAATGTGGGGACTGGTTTGGAGGAGACGCAGTCTGGCTATTACCAGTGGGATTAGAGAAGATTGAAGACATTATTTGTACCATATCTCCTGGTTAAAACAGTAATTCTGTTAAGACCAGTGGACGTGTGTTCCTGGGAGCCCCGGTGCACACCCGTTTGTTCCACAAACAGCTAGCCTGACTGTTGAACAGACGATGCCCAACTTACACTGGCTCAGACTGGGCAAAGTAGGACCTGACTGAAAGATGAGACACCAGGAATGGAGTCCAGAGTCAGTGCCCCGAGCCACAGCTGCCTTTAGGGCCGACACACAAAGGGGGTCAGCGGCCTCGCAGTGCACAGCAGCACTTCAATGGACTCTCACCAGCGGCTCCTGACAGACACAGACACTAACGCCAGAGACGGTGTTTCCTGAGAAGTCACAGAGACAGCAGAAAGCCAGGACCAAGTTCAGACCCTCCTGTCCTGAGGACACTAATGCTGTGACCCACATTGCCAGCTCATCATCAGAGCGAGCACTCCTACAGCCGGGGTTTGTTTGGGGTGGTTAGAGAACAAGTGCAAAATAAAAAGAAGGAAAGAGAAGAAGGTTAAAATTACCAATACTTAACCTGAAACAAAAGAGAGAGATAGCATTTAATTACCTACTTGAGCAGAGCAAACAGACTTAAGAAAAGTGAGAAAAAACTCCTGGGGTGGGAAGGCCTCCAAGAGAGGACTACCACTGCAGTGTTTTAAAGAACACTGCGAAGAAAAGACACGGTCCCAGTGAGAGAGACAACTTTGGATGCTTTGTTAATTTCTTATGAGAACACCCTGTCAAGGAGTCTACAGATGTCAAAGAAGAGGTGTGTGAGTGTGTGTGTGTGTAGGAAGGTGAAATACAGAAGAGTACTAATTAGATCAGTATTTCATTTGAATAGGACAGGATAATTCGTTCATGCATACAATCATACTTGGTGCATAGGCATGCTCTACATACATGTACACGACTACACAGGCACATGAAGACAGTGTAGACAGCACTGCACAGAATGTACTTTGCAGAATATACCAACAAAATACCCTGGACATTTGCCCCCCAGGGGAGCAGGAAAAAAACCTTTATACACCAAAACTTATGAGAACTTGATGGTTTTTATGCCTGAAAAGATTTGAAAACTCTAGCATTTGCTCTGCAGAGATTTCTATTTTCTTGTGGTCCAAGGGTAAAATGAATGAAAGCCGTTGTGAAAAGCTAAGAGCTAGGCAGGGAGGGCTTTGGTCTGCTAAGCGCTTTGCTTGATGACTCCACTCAGGTCTCTAAAGTCTTGAAAGGCTCAGGGCAGTCAGGTCACCTGCCCAGGTGCCACCACTGATAGATAGACTGCAGAGGACAGGGCTCAACCATGAATGACTGACGGCTCACCCTTCGAGAACTAGCTACACTAATGAACAGAAAGCAGTTTGATTTGCTTTGCTATCTTACCAGCTGGGTTAAGACTTACAGATCTGGGTCATGTGTCCCTGAATGGTTACACTTTACAGAACTTATCCTTAAGGGCTCAACTGTGAAAGCATATCTGAGACAGCCGCCACCTGAGTGTGGAGCTCCTGTAATTTTGGAATGTTAGATTAGAAGTGATTAGTAAACTTTAATCCCAGCACATGGGAGCCAGAGGCAGGCAGAGTTTGAGGTCAGCCTGGTCTACACAGTTGAGTTTTGGGGCAACCAGAGCTACAAAGTGAGAAGATATCTCAAAAAAAAAAAAAAAAAAAAGATTGGAGACTGTAGGCTATGAAGTACCTGCTCTGCAAGTCTGCAAAGAGAAAAAAAGTTTTCAGTCAAAAAGTAGGGTAGAGTGAACTACAGCCCATTGCAAACTGAAACCCTGAAGCAGGACTGCAGCACTGAACAGGGTTGAGAGAAAGGCAGCAGACAAAGGGGCCTCGTAATGGCTTTAGGATCAGGACAGAGCATTCTAGAAGAACTTTCAAGGAAGTGTGGGCATGGCTAAAACTACTGAGGAACAGGATTATAGACAAGCACTGGCGTTTTGTCAGGGACCCCTGAGGGGTGAGGGCAGGCCGAAGAGTCTCAGAACTCAGATCTGCCAGTTGCAATCTGTGAGCCCGTGAGGCCACTCTGGCCAAGGAGATGCTCTTGCATGCAGGCATCCCTGGATTCTCTCAGGGCCCATTTCTCAAGATAGAAGAGTTGAATTTATGGTACAATTTTAGACCAAAAATAATACAAAACATGTTTTCACAAGAGACTGTCAGTGCCGGATAGTTCTAAGCTTGGAAGTGCTAATGGCTATCCTTATGACGGGAAAGATTTAGGCAAAAATGAGTCATCTCCGCTGTCTTTAGATCCAGGAAGAACAAGCTGGTTTTTTCTTCCTTCGGGGACTCCATATAAGAATGTGGCATGCATTCAAGGGGTAGTAAATCATGCCCTACTTCAGCTCTCAGCACTCTCCTGCTGAACTCAGAGGACAGAAAAGAGGACCAGCCAATCTTTGCTGATGTGGCACCATGGCATAGGAACAAATCAAAAACAAGGCTTATTTGCCCTATTCTTAAACATACTTGAGCTGAGCCAACCGCTCACAAACTTCCCGACTACCACCTGACTCAATGCAATGACCTCACTGTGATAGCAAAAGCACCGAGTGAGAGAGTAGGTCTTCAGACAGCTACACTGCATACGGAAACGGGCGCTTCTTACCGTGGTCCAAGATATAAAACACACTGCTCTTCCCTCTGCATTTTCTCCAGGGCTTTGTCAATTCCAATGGGAATGTCGTGGTCTTCTCCTTCACCAACAATGAACACCACATCTCTGCAATCAAACATCCTTCCACCACAGCAGCCTTCCAGGTGGACTGAGGGTGAGGAGACAGAACAGTCACAAGCCACCCCTCAGCACTGCCTGTCAAGTGAGCGGCCAACAGTGCAGCTCTGTCCACAAGACACACACAGTGTCTTCTAGAAGCTTTGCCCACCCAGTGTGAAAGTTTAAGAACAAGAATATTTTTCTGTTTTAGGTTAAATGAATACTAGTTTTCTTACCTGTGACACAAGGTCAGGATATACTGGCTTATTTAAACACACAATAAGGAGAATGCCACGCATCTAGTCCTGACAATATACAACGATGGCTTAACCATTTGTAACAGTATCTTGGGTTCAGATGCTTGGGTGAAATAAATAAACCAATAATAATGCCAAGCCTGGAATGTCATTTCTCCAATGATACATTCATGTTAGATTTTCTTTTCTTTCTTTCTTTCTTTCTTTCTTTTTTTTTTTTTTTTTGAGGCAGTCTTTTTATATATCTCAGGCTGGCCTGGAACTCTTATTTTCCTGCCTCTGCATTCCAAGTGCTTTCTTATTATATTATTACAGGCCGGCACCACATCTTGTTCCAATTACTTTGTATGGCGGTGAGGACTGACCCCAGGGACTTGTGCAACAACCAACCACAGAGCTACACCCCAGCCCAACTACCTTTAATGCCCATGTTCCATATGCCTTTCTCGAAGGTCTTTTACTCACTAAGAAAAATGGCTTGTGAGCCAGTGCAACAGTCACCACGATTCCTCTTTGATAATCTGGAAAGTTCTTAGGCTGCTTAACTGATGTGGGGTAAGTAACTACGTAACTTGCTTTACAGAGTCTTGAGAATCCACCCTCTCTTACACATTAACTATGTGTCCTATGACAGCTGTCAAATTCCAAACACAGACCCAATTCCAACTCCCTCCACCACCCTTATCTGATCTCAGCAGTCTCCTAAAAGGCCTGAAGGTCTATGATTCTGTTTCAGCTAGAAGCCACCTTTAATGCTAATTCCTGTGGTTAACCATTTGATCCAGCACCTTTAGCCTAGGCCTGATAAGTCAGAGGGACTCTGACTATCAACAGCAGGGCCTCAGTCAGCAGAGTCAGGACAACCTCCAGGACGAACACCACGCTGGTTGCTCCCTCGGCTGTCAACCCAAATCCTGAGTCAGTTCCTTCAAAGCAAGGGCTGCAGCCTGGATCTCAGGGTGTGCATAGAGCCTCTTGTTTTATTTCCCACACTTGTTAATATCTATGATGACCACTTCTGGAATGTTCTAAATAAAATAATAGCTAACTTGCAGATACCTCCCCCACCCCACCCCCAGTGCACAGGTAGCGTGAAAAAACCAGGTTGAGTGTAGTGTGAGAGGCATCCAGCTGGACAGCTGTGAGCACTGCCAGCAGCCGCTTCCATTTTTTTAAAAAAAGACTTAACTTTATTTTAAAAATTTAAAATACATGTACACCAGAGGTTTGGGAGCACAACTGAGGCCCATGGTTTTGTTTTTTTTTTGTTTTGTTTGTTTTTCTAGAGTAAAGGTGATGTTTCTAAAGGAACTGGGTTTTTAGGAAGTTGGGTATCTATTCTAAGCCTAGCTACTCAAAAGGCTGAGGCCGGAGAAGCATACACTGTGGCCTATCTCACAAGAAACAGTGAAGAGAGGGATAGGGGTAGCTCACAGTGGCAGAGTACTTGCCCAGTAGGTACAAAGCCTGAGGTTCAAGCCCCAGAACCTCCAAAAATAAACAGAATTTAGACCAACTTCTCACTAGAGATCTGCTGAGCACAGGAGTTCTTGCCCATGCACAAGGTAAGCACATCTTTAGACTGACAGATTTGGCGGGGGAGGGAATTCTGAAGTTTATTGTTAGGTGATCACCTTCCTCCTCAAGTGCGGTGTCTTTAGCTCGGAGGAAGCTATCAGTACATTTGTTGTGGCTTTTGGTCGATCAAGTCTGAATGTGTTTTCAAAACAGGAAGTCCAGAGACTTCTGCAAAGGGTCCCCACTTACTATCGGTTCCCTAGACTGATTCGCAATCATGTAATGTGTTTGAAATGACTACACAGTTTCAGAAATTCTCTTTAAGTGTGCAGGAAACAAGCAAAAAAACCAGAAAGTCAAACTGTATCAAAGGCATAGTTAAGAAAATGAATACTGAGGCTGGAGAGTGGCTCAGTGATGAAGAGCACTGGCCGCTCTGGTCAAGGCCCTGGGGTTCAATTCCTAGCATTCTATGGAAGCTCATAACTATCTGTAACTCTAGTTCCTGCGGATCCAGAGCCCTCTTTTGGCCGCTGTGGTCACTGTATGCATGTGGTACATAAGCACACGCGCGCATACACACACACACACACACACACAAAGGAGGTTTTATTAATATGCACGTATGTGTTTGAGTATAAGCTATGTGTACAGGTAGTCACAGAGGCAGGAAGAGGGCATCAGATCCCCTAAGCTGGAGTTACAGGCAATTCTGAGTTGTCCAACATAGGTGCTGGGAAGCATCCTGCCTCTGGAAGAGCAGCAGTTAGCACAGGTAAAGGTGTCAATCTCTACCTGCTGAACCAAGCTCATTACCTGGGCCTCAGGTGGTAGAAGAGAATCAATTCCAACAAGTTGTCCTCTCGTCTTTACACGCACACCCCCATACACAATGAACAAATAAACAAATAAAATATGTAACCAAACATCTGCAGTGACATTCCCACATATGTCATAGGTCACCTCACACATGTATGCACCACCACCTCAAAACATGACGACATGTGGGATGTCGGAGAAAAAGGAAGGCTCAGAGCAGAGTGAACACAGCCCATAATTCTCCATCCATAAGGAGAAAGGTCCTCACTGGCAGGACTACTAGCTGGCTCTGAACACTGCTCTGACAAGTCCTACAAGGTTGCTGACAAGAAGCCACCACCAGGCCTCTGGGAAGGCTGTTTTACACAGTAAGGACTCACTCTGAGGTGATCTATGCAGAGGCACACAGTTCCTAAGGAGCCCGTTTCTTCTGCTCGGGCTCTGGGAGACCTGTGGGTGCTTTTGACTTTGTATTCCACAGTACAAATACTCACTAATAAATATTTAATAAAAGCCAGCATGACTCACTCGGGAGCTCAGCCTCTAGGGCTCAGGAGGTCTGTTGCTAATCTCATCCAGCATGACTTACAGGAAGCAAAGGGTCTATGACGTGCTCCAAGTCAGCAGAACATACAGGATGCTTCTACTTAGGGCTTTTTTGGTAAAGAGAAATAAGCAAGTTAAAAGACACAATATTTTCTCTTGACTGAAAGTCTATGTAACCTGGAAGGGGGTGCTCCAACAAACCCCACAAAGTCAAACCAAACGGAATTACCCAAGCTTAGCTTCGCAATCCAGAATGTAACCACATCAAGTGAGCCTGGTCGCTGCAAAACACCATTTCCACTGGAGCTCTGACTTATTGTTCTCTGACTGCCCTGGAGCAATTTTGTTTTGAAGAGCACAGAACACCCTGTTCTGAATGTGGCTGGCACATGAACTCAATGTGCTGACAGCAATTTGTTCTCTGATTAAACTGGGGGGGGGGGGGGGGGGGGGAGAAAAGAGGGGGAGAAAAAAAAGAGGGAAGGGGGGGGGGGGGAGAGGAGGACTGGAGGGGACAGGAAGATTGAGTGAGGGGAAGAATAGAGGAGAGCAAGAAAAAATATCCCATAATAGATGGAGCCATTATAAAATTAAAGAGAAATCTGG